CCCTACAAGGTTAATTCCTTACACTTTTCCCTTTCCAAACTACTTAATATTACTATTTAAAATGTCAGCTATATGCTGATGACTCCCAAATCTCTGTCTTTACGTGTGAGCCCCAATTCCTAATGTTCAAGTGCCCAGAGAACAGTCTCATTTTATTTCCTACTGTGGATTCAACCTCATCTAAAATCAAATCCATCTTCTTCCAAACTCTGCTCCTGGGTCCAAATCCTGTCTTAACCTTGTCCTAGAATGCAATTGTGGTTCTAATTCTAGTGGGAATGCCTGCCAATGTTCCCATTAAACAGATGTAGGCCATATCTGTTCCATTAAGGAAGTATCCATTAGTTACTATTTTGTTAAGTGTTCTTCTGAAGGGGTTTTTGTTTTGTAAGATATCTTTTCGATAATTGTCAGAATAAGATTTTTCTCTTATTATAAAAGAGATTAATAGACTTTTTATTATTAAATTTTTGCATTCTTGGAATAAATCTTACTTTATGGGATCCCTGGGTGGCTCAGTGGTTGAGCGCCTGCCTTCTGCCCAGGGCGTGATCCTGGAGACCTGGGATCGAGTTCCACATCGGGCTCCTTGCATGGAGCCTGCTTCTCTCTCTGCCTATGTCTCTGCCTCTCTCTGTGTCTCTCATGAATAAATAAATAAAATCTTAAAAAAAAATCTTACTTGATCATGACAGTTTTTTATCAGGTTGTGGTATCTTTTTTACACTAATGGAAGTTTTTCTTTTTCTTTTTACTCTGAAAGTTTTCATAGCATTTTAAATGGTCTAGTTTTTAAAGATTTGTAAGAATTTTCTGTGAAATCGAGGCTGGTTCTTTACCTGGGTGAGGGCTAGGGATTTTTGACAATTCCAGTTTCCTCTTTGGAAATTTATCTATTTCTGTTTAAATCTTTCTACTTATTAGTTCCTCTTTTTTGTTTTTTAAGTTTTTCCATTTTTAAAATTTATTTGACAGAGAAAGCAGCAAGGGGAGCAGCGGCAGAGGAAGAAGGAAAAGCAGGCTTCCCATCGAGGAAGGAATCTGACGTGAGCCCGATCCTGGGACTCTGGGGTCATAACCTGAGCCACCCATATGCCCCAGTTCCTCTATTTGTAACTTATTGATTTCTAATTTTGTATTTGTTAATACTTTCTTCCTGCTTTGCTTTATCTTATTGTTTTCCTAATTTTGAGCCAGAGGCTTAACTGCTTTCATTTTTCTAAATTATTATATGTTTTTACAGGCATAAATTTTCTTCTGAGTAACACTTTAGGTTATACTATAAATTCTGATACAGGGTATAGTCTAGAAAAAATTACAACTTAAAAAAATTATCATATTTTTAAAAGATTTTATTTATTTGACAGAGAGATAGCAAGAGAGCATAAGCAGAGTGTGTAGCAGAGGGAGAGGGAAAAGCAGGCTCCCTGCAGAGCAGGGAGCCCAATGAGGCTTGACCCCAGAACCCTGGGATCATGACCTGAGCAGAAGGTGACGCTTAACCAACTGAGCCACCCAGGTACCCTTCAAAAAAATTCTGTATTTTAATTTGTATTTCCCATGTGATACAATGTTACTTAATAGTTTAAACATTTCTAGATGAAGAGAACTTTTCTCCCCTCTTCTCATTATTACTTTCTAGTTATATTGAATTATTGCTACTTTCTGGAATCTACTGAGTCTGTCTTTGTTGCATATTATGTAGTCAATTTGTATCAATCTTGAAAAGGCTTATATTCTCTAACTATAGCAGAGGCGGTCATATCTGACCACAGGAACTATCTCATTGAAAAATTTTTAAGCGTTCTACATTTTAAGTTGTTTTATGTGGTTCACTTGGACTGAGACACACATTCTATCCTCCTGTGTCAAGGATTCTCCTATGATTCCTGTCCCTACAAGGTTCATTCCTTAAGTTCCCTTTCCAAACTACTTAATATTACTATTTAAAATGTCAGCTAAAAAAATAGATAAATAAATAAATAAAATGTCAGCTATAGGGGATCCCTGGGTGGCGCAGTGGTTTGGCGCCTGCCTTTGGCCCAGGGCGCGATCCTGGAGACCCGGGATCGAGTCCCACATCGGGCTCCCGGTGCATGGAGCCTGCTTCTCCCTCTGCCTGTGTCTCTGCCTCTCTCTCTCTCTCTCTCTCTCTCTGTGACTATCATAAATAAAAATAAATAAATAAATAAATAAATAAATAAATAAATAAATAAATAAATAAAAATAAATAAATAAAAAATGTCAGCTATATGCTGATGACTCCCAAATCTCTGTCTTTACACGTAAACCCCACTTCCTAATGTTCAAGTGCCCAGAGAATAATCTCATTTTATTTCCTACTGTGGATTCAACCTCATCTAAAATCAAATCCATCTTCTTCCAAACTCTGCTCCTAGGTCCAAATCCTGCCTTGACCTTGTCCTAGCTCTTTACAGCTATAATGGTATCACACTGCTTATCTTTTTATGTGAATGACTTATCTTTTAAAAATAAATTGAGGGGATCCCTGGATGGCTCAGTGGTTGGGCGCCTGACTTTGGCCCAGGGCGTGGTTCTGGAGTCCTGGGATCGGTCAGCACTGGGCTCCCTGCATGGAGCCTGCTTCTCCCTCTGCCTGTGTCTCTGCCTCTCCTCCCTCTCTCTCCCTCTCCCTCCCTCCCTCCCTCCCTCCCTCCCTCCCTCCCTCCCTCCCTCCCTCCCTCCCTCTGTGTCTCTCATGAATGAATGGAAAATCTTTAAGAAAAAGAGAAAAAAAAAATTGAAATGGAGCACTATGTATCATTTTAACCCACTGATATCAACTCCAGAATCCAACTCTGCCTAAGGACAAAGCAAGGAGCATTTATTAAATGTTGGTGAATGATTCTAGGTTTAAATCATCAGCTTTAGGGTACGGGTGAGGAAGGAGAAAGGAGAAGGTGAGGATTGGGCCTGAGAGCTTCAAGGTCCATGACCAAGGTGTTCCTGGAATTGGCAACATAGTTACCAACCAGTCACCTAAAATAAATGCTAGTTTTACCCAAGTCTGAGAAAAACTCAGTGTAATAAATCTGATCTGTTTATGCTTATTTCTAAAATTAAAACAAAACAAAACAAAACATTAGGGGGTACTTGGCTGGCTCAGTTGGTAGAGCATGCTTGTTCTGAGGTCTTAAGCTGGAGCCCTATGTTGGGCACAGAGTTTACAATCAATCAGTCTACACACACACAATCTTAAAAAAAAAAAGGGATCCCCGGGTGGCGCAGTGGTTTGGCGCCTGCCTTTGGCCCAGGGCGCGATCCTGGAGACCCGGGATCGAATCCCACGTCGGGCTCCCGGTGCATGGAGCCTGCTTCACCCTCTGCCTGTGTCTCTGCCTCTCTCTCTCTCACTATGTGCCTATCATAAAAAAAAAAAAATCTTAAAAAAAATATATATATACATATACATACACACATTACATAGAATAACTTGTGGGAAATTAAGTGGGCTCACTATGTACTACTACCCCGACTATACAGTGTAAAACAGCTAGAATTCAGTAGTCATGGATTTTTGTTACCCCAGGTAACTCATAAAACCCACTTTTTGCTCCACTTCAGCCTCAGAAACAAACAGCACTGAAGGCAAAGTAAGAAGTATTCGGCACTCAGCAAAATGATTTTTGAGGATTCCTGATTCTGTAGTCACCAGTGTATTTGTAGAGAAAGGCTGAATCATCTTTCAGCAGCTGACAGAGAAGCTAATGGCAGATGAGTTCATATGAAGTATTCTCATTTAAGAATACCTTTAACCATTACTGGGAAATAAGCACAAATAATGGAGGTCCCATTCACCAACCATATAGGCAATTCACTGAAAAAATTATGAGAAATACAGCAAGAAGGAGTATGTTTTTATAATTATATATTAAAACATTAATGTAAATTTTAAAATTATACAATTTATAATTGTATAATTCTGGGCTAAGACTGCAAGCTCTTTTTTTTTTTTTTAGATTTTATTTATTTATTCATGAAAGACACACAGAGAGAGAGAGAGGCAGAGACATAGGCAGAGGGAGAAGCAGGCTCCACACAGGGAGCCCGATGTGGGACTCAATCCCAGGTCTCCAGGATCATGCCCTGGGCAGAAGGTAGGCGCTCAACTACTGAGCCACCCTGGTATCCTAAGACCACAAGCTCTAATGTTAGAATCCCTAGTCCCTGCCCTACTACCTACTGCTGTGTGACCTTGACCTTTCACAATTTTTCTTTCTTTTTTTTCTTTTTTGGTAGGATGCAAGGCAAAGTTTATCGAGCAATAGCACAGTTTATTAAGTGATAGCATAAAGCTCCCCAGGAGGGAGGGGACCCAAGAGGGTTGCCCAACCTTTAGCAATTTCTTAACATTTTTCTGCTTCAGTACCGTCATCTGTAAAATAGTAATAATTCCTATACTCTACAGTAATTTTGTGAGAAATACATGCAATAACAAATGCATATAAAGCACTTAAACTAGTGCTTCATACATAACGGCACATTAACACTTAATAAGTGCTAGATATTATTCCCATCAACAGTGGGATATATTTTCATTCATTAGTAGATGTCACAGCTACTGGACATCAAGGAAAAAAAAAAAGACTTAAAAGAGTCATGTGTCCAAAGAAAATACTAATTTAAAAAACACCTACTGGGGGACTAGCACTACATCCAGAAAACGGACTCAGAAACAATCTGCCTACATTTTCAATGTTTGAATATTTGATGCCAGTCTATCAGCTGCAGGTCCTGCTTACCAAGAGAATTCCCCTCTGCCCTTGCTGCCCTAAAGCTATAAGAAAAATGGCCGCCACAGCTGGTGCAGGCTCTGCTACATGGGATAGAACAAAAATTAGTGTAATTATGTACTTAGCTAGTGTTAATTAGGTCTTTATTTAAAAAAAATGTTTTTTAATGAGGTCTTTAAAAAGTCTGACAAAACAGAAGAACATGTTTTTCCACAACATTCAATATGAACACAAAAGATTTCTTACCCAGTAACATCATCTCCCCAATATTGTCTTCCTTCTCTGAGGTGGGCTGTTGAGTAGCATCTAGGCTCACACATTCTTCTTGAGAGTGAAATACATTCAAATCCTCAAAGACCACCAGTTCCTGAAAGAGCAAAAGGCCCCTTCCTCTTAATAACAGAGGTTCGTTTGACAGCTCTGCTGGCAAAAAAGACCGAAGCCCAAATATCAGAGAAGGGAAGGCAAAATGGGTCTATAAATCCGTGAAGAGGGCGTCTGGGTGGCTCAGTGGTTGAGCGCCTACCGTTGGCTCAGGGCGTGATCCTGGGGTCCGGGAATCGAGTCCCACATCAGGTTCCCTGTGGGGAGCCTGCTTCTCCCTCTGCCTATGTCTCTGCCTCTCATGAATAAATAAATAAAAATCTTTAGAATAAATAAATCCCGTGAAGATGCAGCACAGACCAGAAATCCAGGCTCAGAGAGCACCCACAGGACAAGCAGAAGAGAAATGTCCAAGGAGGCAGTGAAAAACAAGCCATTCTCCTTACTCCCAAGAGTGTGTTTTTATACATGGGTTGGCTGAGCAGGGAGAGCTGAAAGAGCAGAAAAGATGATGTACTCAAAAAAGTGAATAGGAAAACCAAACCCACCTCAGGGACAGTTTTCAAATACAGAGACACAGTGTCCTGTTTTTGCTGGATCCCTTTCCAGGGCAGAAGCTTCACCATAGGATGAGGTTGCACTGGGGAAAGAGGAAATTGTAGTTAATGGAAAAATCAGTGACTCTAATACAGGAACACTAACCACACCTTAAGGCTACACTGTCCTCACTCCTTCCAAAGGCAACTCAAGGCTTTTTCTGTTTCTGTGAGCTCTGGACAAATTCAAGCCATAAACCATAAGGTCTATGAACCTATATGCGCTCTCCTCATTGTGAAAAGAATGATTCCCTTCAGGACTTTAAAAAATTCCACTATTAGGAGCAGCCCTGGTGGCACAGCGGTTTAATGTCGCCTGCAGACCAGGGTGTGATCCTGGAGACCCAGGATCGAGTCCCATGTCAGGCTCCCCGCAGGGAGCCTGCTTCTCCCTCTGTGTCTCTGCCTCTCTCTCTCTGTGTCTCTCATGAATAAATAAATAAAATCTTAAAAAAAAAAAATCCCACTACTAAAGGGAAGGCTAGAGGGCAATGTCTGAAGATGCCCCCAAACAAGCACAAAATTTCCAAAATTCCACATAAACTCCAGTCAGTTCAACAATTCATCCACATTTCTATATTCTAAAATGATGCACACTCTTCCCAACATTTGTGTAAAACTGACATTGTTTATTCTATGGCTTTACACGACACTCCGCAATCCACTCAAACTCCAGCTTGAGAAAAAATACTGCCTTTCCCCAACATGCTGACTTATTAGAATCAACTCCTTTTTTTTTCAAAACCTGCTATCCTAACTTGAATTCATTACTAACATGAAAACCTATTTGAACCCCCAGAACCATTCCCTTCTCTTCCAGGGATCAGCATGTGCTTCTTACGTCTGTTCTGAAAGTTTGAGCTCATATCCTTCATAATAACCAAGGTCTCCTTGACTTTCTCGTTGGGCTGGACCAGGCTTGGCTCTGGCAAGAAGGTGAGAAAGTGCTCCAGAACCAGCTCGTGGATGGTCTTGGGCCCACCAGTAGCATCTCGAAGTAGGTCTTGTCCTAGTTTGGAGTCTGGAGGAACTCTCAGTATAAAGGACCGCTTTGACTTTAGGGGCATTGGAACCACTTTTGCAGTCATGGCGCCGTGAAATCACACAACGCTGGTTTTGCAGAGCTTCAGGAGTCACTTCTTACTGAAGGAAATGTGTCAAGAGAGCCGAGCTGTGGATGAGAGAAACCATGGGTTACGCACAAGGCCAGGAAGGCACGCCTGCACTCCAATACAGAGCCTGGATAGCGAGGCCACGTGAAGTTTAAAGCAGAAGTTAAGGGATCCCTGGGTGGCGCAGCGGTTTGGCGCCTGCCTTTGGCCCAGGGCGCGATCCTGGAGACCTGGGATCGAATCCCACATCGGGCTCCCGGTGCATGGAGCCTGCTTCTCCCTCTGCCTATGTCTCTGCCTCTCTCTCTCTCTGTGTGTGTGTGACTATCATAAATAAATAAAAAATAAAAAATTAAAAAAAATAAAGCAGAAGTTAAGAGAAACCGGGGTGGGGACCTCCTAACTGAAACGGAAGGTCCCTGAACGAGAGGCACTCTCAGCAGGGCCTGAGAGGAAGATGTGAGCAGGAAAAGCCGGAGGATGCCCAAACCCCAAGGGTCATCCTCCTAGAGTAGACTCCACCGGGAAGAGCGGTTTAACTCCTGCTGACAGGAAGAGCCATGGGCTAGAAGACAGGGAACCTGGGGTCCAGCACCGAGGGCATCTGCTTACGAGTTGGCCTGGCCACTGACTGAATGAAGCCGTTCTGCGCACCTTGGACCGCGGGTCCATCGGATGCCCCTTCGCGGGGCCGCTGATGGCTCAAGGAGCAAACGCAAGGCCGCACGCGATGTCCACACACCGCCTGCTGACTCCTTTCCGCCGTGAAGCCCTGTTGAGAGCGGCGAGGGGCGTCCCGGTAGGGACCAGCTGGCCAGGCCCACTGTGGAGCCTCTCCCACCGGCCACGGGGCACTTTTACCACAAAGCTCGAGCGGCGGCATTGCCCGGGGTGCGTTCCCGGCTCCCCAGCCGGCCAGTCTCTCCCACACGGACCAAGCTCTGCTCCCCAGAGGCCACCTCAGCCTGGTTCCCGCCCTCGCGGAGCCCCTCACCTCTCAGGGGCTCTTCCCTCCTGGGCGCTCGCAGGGACGGCCCAGAGAACCCAGCGCAGAGAGACCGGGAAACTAGGCGCGTGGGGCCCAGCCCTCCCTTCGCCCTTCGGAGTGTCCTCACAGGCCGCAGGGGCCTCTATTGGCGTGCTCGGCTGTCAGTTGGGGAGACGGTCCGGACCCGGTGCCTTCTGGGAGGCCGGGAGCCTCGGTAGCCTTTACGTCACGACCGGTGCCTCGTTTCCGGTGCGGAAGCCTGGTCTCCCCGCTCGGAGCGGGCTGTCTGTGCTTGAGAAGGCGATGCTCGAGGACGGCCGGCAGAGCTCCCGGCGCCGAGGGAGGCCGGGCTGGCGGCAGCCGCTGTTTCTGTGGCTCTATTTGGGAGACAGAAAGCAGAAGGTTGGCTCCAATCCTCCATGAAGGGTTGGCTCCTCTCCAAGTACTGGCGGTGTAGCTCCATCGCCTGCTGGGAAATGTAGTTCGACTCTAAACAGCCAATGGGAGACCGCCAGGCGCCGCGTTTGGGGCGGGCCAGCACACTCCCTCAGCCCCCGAAGTTCGACCGGAAGTGAGCTGCCTCTCGCCCCGGAAGATCTTCGAGAGGCCCCGGAAGATCTTCGAGAGGCCTCGGCTGTTTCTGGCACAGCCTCGAAGGTGGGTCGAAGGTCCGTGTGGCCGTGAGTGGGCGGCCGGTTAGGGTCCATGCATGGTTCTGGGTCCTGTCACAGCTGTCACTTCGCTAGGGGCGGCTCGTCGGTCAGAGCCGGGCGACCCCCTCCCCGCTTGCCTGCTTCTACCCTGCGATTTGAACAGGCCATCCTGTGTTCTTTTTTTTTCTGACGCTAATTATCGGTAACTCGTTTAGCCGTGGTTTATTTATTTATTTTTTTAGCCGTGGTTTAAAACATATTACAGACTAATGTCACAACTGCACGGTACAACAGAAGTTTTTCTAAAAATAAAGAACACTTGTTTTTGCATTCATCAAAAACCAAACAATAAAAAAAGAAAAAACCCTCTCTCAATCAAAGCAGCATGGTTCGAGCTAGAGATAAGTAGAACAATAGAAAAGAGTAATAAGCATCAAAGTTGATCTGAATGTATGGAACCCGTATGAAAGGGTAGCACTTCAACTTGGTGTAAAATAGATGATGCTAGCAAAAGTTATCCATTCTTCTGGAAAGAAAGACTCGTGTCCTTATATACAAAAGATGGAATTAAAAGAACACAATTAAAAGAAAAGAACATTAATTTAATGTGGAGGCAAAACAACTGAAATGCCTTGAAGATACAGTCCTGTATAATTGTATTTTTAAGAAAACTAAAAAAAAACCAAAAAACAAAAAAAACCAAACCCCAAAAACCAGTAATAGGGACGCCTGGGTGGCTCAGCGGTTGAGCATGCCTGCCTTTCCCTCAAGAGCGTGATGGGGGTCCTAGGATCGAGTCCCACATCGGGCTCCCTGCATGGAGCCTGCTTCTTCCTCTGCCTGTGTCTCTACCTCTCTCTCTCTCTCTCTCTCTCTCATAAATTAATACATACATACATACTTTTTAAAAACCCCAATAATGGCGATCCCTGGGTGGCGCAGCGGTTTGGCGCCTGCCTTTGGCCCAGGGCGCGATCCTGAAGACCGGGGATCGAATCCCACATCAGGCTCCTGGTGCATGGAGCCTGCTTCTCCCTCTGCCTATGTCTCTGCCTCTCTCTCTCTCTCTCTGTGACTATCATAAATAAATAAAAATTTTAAAAACCCAATAATAATAAACAAGTAGTAGAATGGAAAATAATTGTAAAAGAAAGACCACATAAAGAATTATACATTTCCAACTTCCAGAAAGCTCCAGCCAACTGACAAAAGACAAAGGCAAAGGCTATGAAGTCATGAAAACGAAACTATCATTAACATTTGAAAAGATCCAAAAAAATACCATTAAAAAACGGGGGGGGCACAGTGGGTTAATCGTCTGCCTTTGGCTCAGGTCATGATCTCAGGGTCTTGGGATCAAGCCTCATCTCAGGCTCCCTGCTCAGTGGAGTGTTTGCTTCACTCTCCTCCCTGTCTGTGTTCTCTCTCAGTATCTCTCTCTCTCAAGTAAGTAAAATCTAAAAAAACCCCAAAAGCTTTAAAAAAAAAAAGGCATTTGAAAATATGCATCACCATGTTGGAAACAGTTTGTTAGTCTCTCAAAATATTATCATAGAATTACTATGGTGTAGCAGTTCCATTCCTAGGCATAAACTCAAGAAAAGTGAAAACATATGTCCATACCACACCTATATGTGAATACCAGCAGTGTTTGTAATGGCTGAAAAGAAACAATCTTTATGTCTATTAACTGATGATTGGCTAAACATGTATATTCATATAACATGATTATTCAGCAATAGCAATTAGTACTCATACATGCTGCAATGTGGACGGACCACAAAAACTTTATGTCAAGTGAAAGAAGCCAGTCACAGAAGACCACATTTTGTATGATTCTACGTACATGAAATGTCTGGAATAAGCAAATCCATAGAGACAAAAAGTAGGGTAGTAGTTGCCAGGGGCTGAGGGTATGGAGAGTGGCAGATGATTGCCAGTGGATGCAGGGCTTGTTTTTGGGGTGATGAAAATGATCTGAATTTAGTGGTGATGTTTGTACACATTGTGAATATACTAAAACTCAATTATACACTTTAAAAGGGTGAATTTAAAAAAAAAAGGGTGAATTTTATGGTTTGTGAATTATATCTCAATAAAGAAAACACCAGACGGGGAAATTTTCATCTTACAAATACAAATGTTTAGTATCTAAAATATTTATCAAGAAGTACTACAGACAACTGAAGTTCAATATCTAGATTCTACATAACAAGTAGTCAAAGGAGCTGTACTATTTTTGTAGAATGAAGCAAAAGTTCGAAGTCCACGTGGAAAATTCACAGTGTCACTAACAGATAATGAAATAAATTAAAACAGGCAAAACTCCATTTCATCTCTAATGAATGAGCACAAATTTTCAAATGACAAAAACATTGCTTTGGGCATGAAACATTATTTAATCTTGATGAAGGATTGTATGGCCAACTATAGCAAGTGTTATCAAATAGTTCACATTCTGGAGCCATTTTAGGAATAATAAAAAAATGTGTATAGGCAGTAATGGAAAGAATACAGGAAGCTGTTCATGGGAAGGGTATAGCAAGAGAGAATTGGGAACAGCTAAGCAAATAGAGCCCATGAACTCTATCAGAGTATGGACTATGTGCACAGAACAAAGCTCCATGAAGAAATCAGGGCCTGTGTTTTCTGGTCACAATCATGGAAAACTTGGATCCAGTCTAGGCTCTAGTGTGAAGATGGAAAGATGAGTTGGGGTGGAGGGGTTTGGAATCTAATCTTCATTTGATTATTTTTTTCCCTCTTACATCCTTTCTCTTTACATCTCTGTAAATGGGGTATCTGTGAAATAGAACAGATTTTCAGGTACAGATCAGGACAGAATTTTTTAAAAATCTGACACTCGGAATATGTGTCAAATATTTTCCCACAATAGCAGCTCCATCTTTTTCATGTTCAGTAGGGAAATGGGATCTCACAATGATTGACTAAGTAACAGATTGAATGCAGACTAAGTGCAATTATGACCAAGTTTTCTAATTGATTTATTTATGAGGCCTAGTCAATTCTCTTAAGATCCATAGTTCATTAATCCAGGTACAAAAAGAGAACAAACTAGTCAACTTGTTTTATCTCAGCTTTCCAAGTCCCCACGAAAGAAGAGAACAGAATGAAGGGACACATCCTTGCCACAGAGTTCTGAGGGAAAATGAGGGTAAGATCTCTGCCTTAGGGGCATCTTAGGGTGCTAATTCATACAAGGATTCATTAAGCAACAGCTATGTACTTCCTCCTCTGAGGTGTCATCAGTACATGTGTTCTCTTCACCTTTGGCTTACCAGTATTTGTGTACCTAGTTTATTTCTGCTATCATTCCATAGGCTCTTTGGGCACAGGAACTCTTTTCTTAATTCGTTATATTGTACCCACAGCAGCTGGAACCCAGTGGGCATTCAATAATGACAGTTGAGTGTACAGATCCAAGATTCAAGGCTGGGAGCCAGAAGAGAGATATATAGGGCATTCAGTGAGGTTCCTGGTCACCCACTGGACAGATGGTCAGAGGATCCATGTTCTTCCCTCCATCATGTGTTCCAGGGCTGAAGATAGGCTGGAGGGGCTCAGAGGAAGAGAAGCCAGTGAATGCGTAGATGAGGGATTTGTTTGTTACGTTGTAAAAGGAAATGTCTCCAGCCTTATAGTCCAGAAAGATGCCCACGCGTTTGGGAGGTTCCCTTAATTGCAGGCGTGTTGGGGGAATAGTGGACACCTGGTACTCACTCCGCTTCATCATTATCACCACCCAGTAACCATTGTCAGGTGACAGAGTCATGCTCCCTTTCCTGCTCATGGATGCTTTGCAGATGCCCAGGATCCACCCTGTCTTGTTTCCCACCTCTACTTCCCAGTAATGGCGGCCAGAGAAGAAGCTTGGAAGGCCTAGGGCAATGATGCAACTATCAAATCTTTCTGGATTGTCAGGCAGACGATTCCGCTTGTTTCCAAGTCTCACGCTCTTCAGGTTATTTGAGAAGATGAGATTGGGGTGGGCGGTTTCTGCATCCAGAATCACATTAGCTGCAGAAAGAATTAGAATACCTAGCTGGGGGTCCATGGGCAACATACCTACAGGGTTCTCCCCACCTCCAAGACACTTGGAGGGACAGTCTTCTTGAATGCACTGGAGGTCAGCATAGGGACTTAGCAGGTGAAGTCCACTTGCCTTAGTCTGGGCACTTACCGGCATGTGCCCGAGCACAGATGAGTTCTGGAACTACAGAGAGAAAGAAGATGGGGGAAAAAACCTAAGTATTTCAATTCAGAGAGGTTAAATCTACCCTGGTCACCACAACAAGGAAAGACAAGAACCCCCACCCCTACTCAGGACCTTGCTTCCTTTGCTTGGATTAACCCCATTCCTCCTAGACCCTGGGGCCTGCCTTGAAGACTCTGTGGTCTGATGAGTTGACCCAGGGAACAAGTCCAGCACAGAGCCTATGAAAGCTTTTTTTTTTTCTTTTTGCCTTTGTTGCAGGTGTTCTTCTCTTTTCTAAATAATGCCCAGAAATCAACAGCATAGGGAATATCACAGTAACCCCCGGCAAGCACATTATTCCATCACCATACTCACCATTGAAGATATCTATTTCTGAACGCAGCATTTCTAAAAGAAGAAAGGGAGCTTGAGTTAGGTTCCCCAGCTAGAGACAGATCAGAAAGAGGCTGAAGACAGCATTAGAAAGGCCATGGGAGATGGAGAAGGGATGTCAGAGGGTTCTGGGCCACCTGGATCTCAGGGAGGAGGTGAGCCTCCTGGGAAGGAGGGAAGTGCCTCCCATTTCCCCTCCAAGCCCACCTACCTGAGAGGTACTTCATGCTCTTCTCTACAAACTCTGATTTCCGGTAGAACAACTGGATCTTTTTTTCCACCTCTAGGGGAGTGTTCCACAGCTTAGGAACAGTCACCATCTTGACCCTAGAGACAAAAGACTGTTGGCCAGAGAGGGCTGGTGCATAGGGGTAGCTCAAGTTCCCATGAGATGGCAATAAAGTGCAGCCTCTACAGGGGACACCCAGCCCACCTGAACTTTGCAATGAAAGTTTTCCTTGGACTCTGAGTTTTAAACACTGGTTCTCAACTTTGGCCACAGATTGGCATCACCTGAAGAGTTTTAAAAACCACTGACATAAAAACCACAGTGAGGGGATCCCTGGGTGGTGCAGTGGTTTAGCGCCTGCCTTTGGCCCAGGGTGCGATCCTGGAGACCCGGGCTCGAATCCCACGTCGGGCTCCCAGTGCATGGAGCCTGCTTCTCCCTCTCCCTCTCCCTCTCCCTCTCCCTCTCCCTCTGCCTATCTCTCTCTCTCTCTCTGTGTGTGTGTGTGACTATCATAAATAAATAAAAATTAAAAAAAAAAACCACAGTGAGTTTTACTAAAGGCCTTATAATGGTGTGATATTGAAATGTCCATCCCGGAATTATCTATGTCAAATTAATTACACTCCTTTAGTACTTTTCTGTTGAGATAAAAATGATAAGAAATAAGAAAAAATACGATGAGATATGACTCATTAGAATGGTTATTATTTTTGAAGAAATCAAAATGACGGGTATTAGCAAGGATGTGGGAAAACCCTTGTGCATGGGTGGCAGGAATGTAAAATGGTGCAGACACTGTAGAAAATAATATAGTGGTTCCTCAAAAAACTAAGCATAGAATTACCATATGACACATCAATTCCACTTCTAGGTATATACTCAAAAAAACTGAAAGCAGAGACTCAAACAGATATATGTACAGCAATATTCACAGCAGCATTATTCACGATAGCCAACAGGTGGAAACAACTCAAGTGTCCATTGATGGATGAAGGGATAAACAAATTGTGGTATGTATACACAATGGAATATTATTCAGCCTTACATAAGAATGAAATTCTGACACATTGTACAATGTGAATGAACCTTGACGACATTATGCTGAGATAAGCCAGACACAAAAGCACAAATACTGTATGATTCCACTTATGTGAAGCAGTTAGAGTAGTCAAATCCGTAAAGACATAATGTAGAACGGTGGTTGCCAGGGGCTGAGTGAGGGAACAATGGGGAGTTATGTTTTAATAGTATGGCATTTCCATTTGGGAAGATGAAAAAGTGCTGGAGACAAAGGTGGTGTTGATTGCACAATAATACAAATGTACTTAATGCCACTGAACAGCACATTTAAAAATGGTTGTGGGTACACCTGAGTGGCTCAATGGTTGAGTGTGTGCCTTTGACTCAGGGCATGATCCTGGGGTCCGAGATTGAGTCCCACATCAGGCTCCCTGCATGGAGCCTGCTTCTCCCTCTGCCTGTGTCTCTGTCTCTCTCTCTCTCTCTCTCTCTCTCTCTCTGTGTGTGTGTGTGTGTGTGTGTGTCTCAAATAAATAAATAAAATAGCTTAAAAAATAAAGATGGTTAGAGTGGTAAATTCCATGTTATACATATTTTCCCACCAGAAAAGAGGAAAAGACCAAAAAACTTATGCCAGGGTCACACTTTTGAAGATTTGGGTTTAATTTGTGTGCCAAGGCCTGGAGGTCAGGATTTTGTAAAGCTCCCGGAGTGATTGTAATGTCCAGCCTCCTCCCTCCCCTCCCCTTCCCCTGTCTGGGGTTAGAGCATCACGACTCCTAGAAAATACTTCTCTCCCTGAGACCATAAGCACTGTGGCCTCAGGGAGGGAGGCACTTCCGCAGTTAAGAGTTGGACTCTTAACTGACTGATCCCCACCGCAGGAACAGTATTCTTGAGGCAAAATTGGCGATCTTTAGGGAGGTTTCTTAGGAACCATCATTAGCATGATAGGCTGTGTTCGTTCTTTCCAGTCTTCAGCCCATGCTCTCCCTCCTGACCACACTCCCATTTTCCCTACACAAATCCAGAGAGGCCTTAGGAGCTGCAGGAGATGGGAGGAGCCCAGAAGGAGTCAGACCCGGGGTTGGGAGCATCTCCGTCCTAGGAATGCTTCCCCCACAGCTTCCTGCAGGATACCCAAGGTAACACGAAGGGATCTCTCAGTACCTGTGCAGGGTGACTCCGATGTCCTAGGAGAGAAAAGAAGGAAGCTCCCCGTTACCAGTCTCCTAGGGGCTGTGCTGACTCCTGGTCTTTCCTCCTGGGCTCATATCCCCAGGTTGTCAGCAAAACTGGAGCAGGTCCTCTCCCCCATTCTAATTCTCATCACCCAAAGTGGCAGCCTGGTGGGGCTTAAAATAGAACTGCACCCAAACCCTGCTTGTCTCTTCTGGGAGATGCCAGGGGATCCCTTGAAAACTGGGCCATCCTGGACTCCTGAGAGCTCATCAAAGGGATCTGGGCACCAGACCCTTGTCTTGTACTGACTTGAGCAGAGCTAATGGCAGTGCTGGGAGCTCATGACATCCTACTGGGGACAGTGGGAAGGGGAAAGCCAGGCCCAGCCACACTCACCTGCATGAGCTCCCACTCCGGCTGGCATTGCTTGGCCTCCAGCTCTCCAATTAGCTCGTCGAGGAGGGCAATGTCTCTGGACACTTGGGTGCTATACGTCTCCCTGACCTGGCCAATGGTCCGGTTCAGATCTTCGAATGAGGCCACAAAGAACTTCTCTTGCTGCTCCAGAATATGGTACAGTTGCTCTATTTGGTGCTGGATTCTCTGCTTCTGGGTTTCAGTTTGTTTCTGGGGAATAAAAAAGCGTAGGGGTCTGTGCAGTGTGCTGGATGTGTATGTCCAGGGGATCCTCAGAAGCCCACTTCCTGGAGGCGAATAAGAAGCATGCTTCCTCAGCTTCTTGGAGGCCTGTATTTCAGAGCAGTAGGCAAAATGGGCCAGAACCTTCCAGAACAGACTGAGGGTGGCCAGGGCTGGCTCTTGAAAAATGCCCTAAAACCTAGTGTTCTGGGTTGATTTGTATCCCCTCCAAGATTTATGTTAAAGTCCTAACCTAGTACCTAAAGAATATGATCTTATTGGAAATAGCATCATTACAGATATAATTAGTTTAGATGAAGTCATGGTGAAGTGGGCCACTGGAATGGGGATGTTGGGACACAGACACAGGAAAGAAACACAAGGGAAAGATGATATCTACAAGCTGAGAAGGGAGGCCTGGAAGACGTCTCTCCTTCATGGCCCTCAGAAGGAACAGTCCTGCTGACACCTTGATTGTAGACTTCTGCCCTGCAGAACTGTGAAAGACTATATTTCTGTGGTTTAAGCCATTCAGTCTGTGGGGCTCTGTTATGGCAGCCACAGGACACTAGGATACCTGGTATCACATTTTCCCTTCCTTGAAGGTCAGTGTGAGGATAGCATATGCCTGGGGCTGTAAGTGGATAAGGTTATGACCACCAAGTGTCCAGGAAGGAGACTTCTCTCCACCCCGCCGCCAAAGTGCTGGCAGGCAGAAGGGCCTCAGTGTAGCTCTGAATGGAGGCAGTTAGTCCATTAATGTGAATGTAGATGAACTTGACTTCTACTACAACTGCACATAGGTCAGGCATCTGACCCATGTTCTATCTCCCTTTTCCTCCTCATGACTAGAGAGTTTTGAGGAAAGGTGAAGTGGCTCTAAGGGAACCTTGTCATTCCTCCATGGAGAGAAGCCCTTTTGGATCTTCCTTCTTTCTTTTCTTTTTTTTTTTTTTTAAAGATTTCATTTATTTATTCATGAGAGACACACACAAAGAGAGGCAGAGACACAGGCAGAGGGAGAAGCAGATTCCCCGCGGGGAGCCCGATGTGGGACTTGATCCCGGGACTCCGGGATCATGACCTGAGCCAAAGGCAGAGGCTACCACCCAGGCGTTCCCCTTTTGGATCTTCTAAGACTGGACTTAAGTAGTGTCATCATTTTAATCTCTTTAGTCCTTTTTTAAAATTTTAATTAATTAATTTTTTAAAAAACACCCAGGCTTTTTTTTAAGACTTTATTTATTTATTCATGATAGACATAGAGAGAGAGAGAGAGAGAGAGAGAGAGAGAGACAGAGACACAGGCAGAGGGAGAAGCAGGCTCCATCAGGGAGCCTGACGCGGGACTTGACCCTGGGACCCCAGGATCATGCCGTGGACCAAAGGCAGGTGCTAAACCACTGAGCCCCCCCAGGGATCCCCCCAATTTTTATTTAAGTAATCTCTACAGCCATTGTGGGGTTGAACTCACAACCCTGAGATCAAGAGTTGCATGCTCTCTGGCTGAGCCAGCCAGGCACCCCATTCTTCCACACTTATTTTAGTGTCATTGTGCTGTAAAGAAAAGTTTCCCCTCCCTCTTCCATATTATACACACACACACACACACACACACACACACACACACACATATATTTAACTATTGAAAGAAGGAGGAAGAGCAGAAGTTTTGAAAACAGCATCATTTTCCTCAGGAGCTCATGTCACTGTCAGCATTTTAAGGGAAGACCAGATCTTGTCTCCCTGACCTTCCCTGTGGGCCAGGCTTCTGTCTCACCTTCATGGCAGGGGGCATCTCTGACCTCTGCTTCACCCACAAGTTCCAAGCCACCTGGGATTATAGGAAAGGGTTTTTTGTTCGTTTGTTTGTTTTAGAAAGAGCGGGAGCTGGTGAGTGGGCAAGGTGGTGAGGGGAAGGGCAGAGAGAGAGGGAGAGAGAGAAATCTTAAGCAGACCCCACACCCAGTGTGGAGCCAAACTCGAGGCTCAATCTCATGACCTTGAGACCATTATCTGACCTGGAATTAAGAGTTGAACTCTTAACTGACTGATCCCCACCGCCAGGCACCCTGGAAAGTGGTTTTCTTTTACTACATACACTTCATGAGTTTCCCAAAAGGTAGACACCTGGGCCAATGCCATACCCGCCCCCATTCCTGCCCTTTCTTATCTTTGTCTGTTTCCCATTGTGGTGTGAGAGATGGGATCCAGCCAACAGAAATGGGTCAGACAAATTAAGGCACTTTGGGATAGGTGAATTTGCCTGCAGGGAAAATGAAAGTGATTTACATGTCCAGGTTTAACAGAAGAAGGCCAATAAGTGTATTTATTGCAATCTGTGGCATCACAAAATAATAGTTTTAAAGAAAATCTCTATTTGAATTTTTAAAATCCATGTTTTTTAAAAATAAAATGGACAACAATTATAAAGATGATACAGTGGAGTATTTAAAATGGAAAAATCTCTCCTCCCATTTCCCCAATCCCATCTCTCAGCAACAGCCACTGTTGTGGTGTTAATTTCTCTAAACCATTTTGTGGTGAATATGAAAGCACAGGCTCCTTGGAAGTTTCCCTCCTATGCTGCAGTTGGGTCTCCCCAGGAACAAGCTCATCCTTGGATTCCTGTTACCTCTCTGCCCCCTTTAGAGCAGGAGATTCTAAATATGTGATCAGTTCTGCTTCCCTATTAACCAGAACATAATTTGGAGACCTTCTGCTCACTTTTGGTCCCCTCTTTCCTTTTGCAGGGGGGAACTCAGGCAAGGACTGGACACAGAACACCCCTGGCCTTACCAGAAATTTTGCAGTCTTCTTATCTCCCTGAGATCTCTGCTCCTCCCCAGATTTTCTCAACTCCTTCACATACTCCAGCTGCTTTTGAATTTTCACCTGGAAAAGGGTACTTGTTAAAGCCTAAATTTGGCTTCTGCCATCCTTAGTTGGTGACAACTCTAGAGGGAAAAAAATCTGCCTTATGGAGTAAAGCTGAGGGTGCTGTAGCCAAGTGCACAGGGAGGGTGCCCAGGAAAGAAGAATGAATCCATCATACCAAGGGAAGCAGATCCAAGAGGCGGTGAGAAAGAGATTCTTAATGACATGTGGGCACCTGGATTCAGCCATACCTGAAGCTAGTGCCCTTGGATCTTAGCTACATGAACCAATAAATTTCGTCTTTGCTGGTCTGGTTTGTATTATATTTTTGCCAGTTACAGCCCAAGAATGCTGCCTAATGCACCAACATCCCAGCGTTGTTGGGAAAATAAAGTAGCTACTGGCTTCTTTAAAAAGCCTCCCCCCCACCCAAAGAAACCCTACCTTGTATTCCAGGGCAGCCTCCTCAATAGGGCGTACCCGGTGGCCTCGGTGTTCCTGACTCAGACTGCAGATGAGGCAGATAGGCTCCCTGTCGTCCTCACAGAAGAGCAGCTGGACTTGCTTCATGTGTCGCTCACACTGTGGCAGGGACCTGGGGCTCAAGATAGCCATCTGCAGGTCCTCCTTCTGCTGGATGTCTCCAGAGTTCTTTACAGGCGGTGAGGCCTGGCTTGAGAGGCAGCTGGGTGAGTATCTGCCTGAGGTCTTGAGATCCTCAGAACCAATGGCAGGTCTGTAGGAATCATGCACATAGGTGCCATCAGCTGGATCTCCTTCCTGGGCACGGCCAAGGGGATACATGGCCTCATCCTGTGGCTTCCCTGGGGATATGGCAGCAGAAAAATTTCTTGAGTGACAAATCCAAAATGTAATGAAGGTGTGCTACAAGACACAGCAGAGAGAGCTATCTCGTGTCTGGGACATGAGGTCCTGGTCAGGCTGTGGCCACTTCTAGCTTGTCCTCCCCTGACTTCACTCCAGCAGGCAGCGAACCACCCAGTGGAAGTGAGGGCTAAGGGCTAGACCTCATGGAAGTCCTGAGACTTGGAATTCCTGGATACTTCTCCTAAAGAAAGGCCTTTTTTTTAAAATTTTTATTTATTTATGATAGTCACAGAGAGAGAGAGAGAGAGAGAGAGAGAGAGAGAGGCAGAGACACAGGCAGAGGGAGAAGCAGGCTCCATGCACCGGGAGCCCGACGTGGGATTCGATCCTGGGTCTTCAGGATTGTGCCCTGGGCCAAAGGCAGGCGCCAAACCGCTGCGCCACCCAGGGATCCCAAGAAAGGCCTTTTGTTACAAATCCTATCCCTTCCTCCTGCACATACACGAACCTAGCAGGTGATATAAAGGCAGTGAGATGTTCTGACTAGTGTTTACTTTACCACTTAAAACCACCCAGGCTGCTCATGACCCGAGTGGAAGCTCCCGAGTACATAACCTAACCCCTAGCAGAGTCCCTGGCACATAATAAGGATTTGAGAAGTGTGTGTTGAATAAAAGAACGAATGGGACTTCTCCTCACTTCCAGGTTCAGGAAGAACTAAATGGAAGTAAGAAAAGAGACTTGGGGGATCCCTGGGTGGCGCAGCGGTTTGGCGCCTGCCTTTGGCCCAGGGCGCGATCCTGGAGACCCGGGATCGAATCCCACGTCGGGCTCCCGGTGCATGGAGCCTGCTTCTCCCTCTGCCTGTGTCTCTGCCCCTCTCTCTTTCTCTGTCTGTGACTATGATAAAGAAATAAAAATTAAAAAAAAAGGAGACTTGGCTTTTTAAGGCTGAAGGGTATAACCTACCATGATGACAAACAGCTATGACTAGCTGTGCCCCAAGACCATAACACAACTTAAAAAAGCAGAAATGACAGGAGGTACAAGAAGAAACAGAAGCACACTCAATCCATTAGAACCCTCCCACCTTCTCTCACAAGGTCCCAGGAATTCGTATCATAGCTGTGAGACTGTGAGAGGCCCTCCTAGTAACCATTCTTCCCTCCTCTTGTGATAGAATTGATTGCAGCCTATCAATTGATGGCTTCTCCCTTCTCCCCCATCCCCCTAAAAAAAACCCACAGCATTTTTTGCAGTTAGGTGTGGCTACTGACTACATTCTGGCCAAAGGGATATAAATTAAGGCATCATGAGCGGCTTCTAGAAACTTCTGGAAACCTTCCCTAAGTGATACTCTTCTCCTTTGTCCTTCTATCCCACTGCTTGGAATAAGGATGCCACCATCTAAGACCATGAGTTTGAGAGCAAACTTTGTGGAGCCTGGGTTCCTGGCCCATGGAGTATCACATCTGTTCTGGACCATCAGTGTGTTACTTATGTGAAGGAGAAACAAACTTCTATCTTGTTTCAGTTAGCGTTATTTTGGTGTTTCTGTCATCCACAACCCAACATAATCCTAATTTCTGCCTCCTTAGTAAAAGAGATTTAGGATTTTAGCCAACAGCTCTCCTCCCTGCCCGGGGAGGTGAATGGCAGGGTCCCACGGGTTCATTGTGAGAAGAGGGTATTTTTACCCAATCTTTCCCAGAGGCTCAGACTAAGGTCCATGAATTCCTTGGAATTCTAAAGGATTTCAGAGTGTCTAAGAACTAAGTGAACTTTGATGCAACATTTTATGAAGATGTGCATACATGCATCTTTTTCAGGATTCACAGCCTACCTCAGATTCTCAAAGTGTTGGGGATCTTGGGGGGCACTCAGGGATCTGGTGACATAAACACAGTGGAGATAAAAGGCTTGTGAGGGAACACCTGCACAGGTCACCATGCCTAAGGATGCCAGGTCTTCTGAGTTCCGGGGTCCTTCCTTACCTGAAAAAGGAGGGACTTCTGGACCTGAAGGCTGATGGAGCTCACCACCTGCCACCTCCCTCGAGGTCTCAGGGGGTTCTTGACCCTCAATTCCATTTTTCTTTGAAGGCCCTGTAGATTCTGGATGCTCACAGGCTGTCTTGCCTTTGGACAATGATACATTGGAAAGTGTATTCCTGAATGCTCCTTCCTTTGGGATCATGGAATGTTCTGGATTCCTGGAGCCTTTCTCTAGAGCCACAGTAGCACCTACATCCAGAGTGGCCACTTCACTGGGGGTGGCTGCTGAGTCTGTATGGTCACTTCTCATTTTCTCTTGAGACAGAAGAGTTTCTGGATTGAGGAGTTCTCTCTCTCTTGAAAAAATGGTGAATTCAAGACTTCTGGGTCGCCTCTGTCCTGATGATAAACGTTCTTCAGGTATCTTGGATTTTACTCTTCCCAGGGACCCAGTAAACGACCCAGAGGAGAGTCCTTGGAGCCTTCCTAAGGAGCTGGCATTCCTGCGTATATGGTCAGTAGGACTCCCCTTCTCCCCCTGCAGCTTGCCAGGGAATGGGCTTCTCCTGGAGGACGAACTGAGGCTCCTGGCCCCTGGCTTACCCAGCACATCCAGGCACTCAGAGCTCTTTTGATCTCTCCGTCTGCTCTGAGGCTTCTTCTGGGATCCCTTTCCAGCCTCATGCTGGTTGGCTGGCAGGCTGACAGCCCCATCACCACTTTGCCGCTGTCTCTCACCTTCCAGGCCATCTGATATCTTCAGGCCCTTGGACTTATTCTCCCCAAAGGAACAAGACATTGCTGAACTGTCTGTGCCACTTTCTTGTATCAGATACTCTGCAAAGACAACAGGATGCAAAGGCATGAGAATGTGCAGGGCTCAGGGCCAGGGGTTGGGAGAAGGAAGAGAAGGGAAAAATCACCTCAGAAATTACAGAAGTTCAGGGATGCCTGGATGACTCAGTGGTTGAGTATCTGCCTTTGGCTCAGGGCACGATGGGGGATCGAGTCCCACATTGGGCTCCCTGCTCTGCCTCTCTCTCTGTCTCTCATGAATAAATACAATCTTAAAACAAAAAATAAATTACAGAAGTTCAGAATGTTCTAGGCAATGACAGTCAATTACCACTAAGTAAGAGAATACTAATTGTTTGCTATATATTTCCCAAATAGTACTTTTCAGAGTTCTTTGGCATGAGAACTTGTTTTCAGTATAAAGTCCTACACGAAATTCTTAGTTCGTAAAATAGATAAAAACTCTAGTTTACTGGTATAAATGTGGGTGTGATTATGATGTACAAAATTCACTTATAAAGTTAATTAATAAAGAAGAATTATATTTGGCACAAAAATTTGAAAACAGGATTTGAAGGACAGTTAAAACTTTAGAAACTAATTTACTTCTGTTTTATTCTTTGGTTTCATGATGTGAAGAAAATCCTAACATACAGATAAGTAAGTGTAAATGGTGATTTTTTTTTGAAAAAGATTTTATCTATTTATTCATGAGAGACACACACAGAGAGAGAGAGAGAGAGAGAGAGGCAGAGACACAGGCAGAGGGAGAAGCAGGCTCCACTCAGGGAGCCCAACACGGGACTCGATCCCAGGACTCGATCCTGGGACTTGATCCTGGGACTTGATCCTGGGACTCCAGGACGACGCCCTGGGCCAAAGGCAGGCGCCAAACTGCCGAGCCACCCAGGGATCCCCTGATTTTTCTTTCTTAAACAGCTTGCTTGGAAGTTTCAGGATACAGTTTCATTAAATAGAAATGACAAAGGCTTAATTTCAAGGTCTGTGTAAAAGGAGTTTAAGCACAAATTATCACCCTGGTGGCCTCTAGAATTTCAAAATTTGGTGAATGACACATTTTAACAAATTTGTTCGGTAAATTAGAAAAATTAATAAAATTTGAATTAAGTATTTTAAAAAAGATTTTTAAAGTTTTTTTTTAATTTTTATTTATTTATGATAGCCATCACAGAGAGAGAGGCAGAGACCAGCAGAGGGAGAAGCAGGATCCATGCAGGGAGCCTGACGTGGGATTCGATCCCAGGTCTCCAGGATCGCACCCTGGGCCAAAGGCAGGCGCCAAACCACTGCGCCACCCAAGGATCCCTAAAAAAGGTTTTATTTATTTATTCATGAGAGATGCAGAGAGAGAGAGGCAGAGACAGGCAGAGGGAGAAGCAGGCTCCATGTGGGGAACCCAACGTGGGACTTGATCCCAGGACTCCAGGATCATGCCCCGAGCTAAAGGGAGGTGCTAAACCACAGAGCCACCAGAGATCCCCTTATATATTTGTTAACATTCTAAAGAATTCCTGAAATATCTTCTTCAGCTATAACTTGCAAACCCTACTCTAGTAAGGAAATGAAGCACCCATAATCAGTGCCTTAAATTTTAGAAGAGGGATCCCTGGGTGGCGCAGTGGTTTGGCGCCTGCCTTTGGCCCAGGGCGCGATCCTGGAGACCCAGGATCGAACCCCACATCAGGCTCCCAGTGCATGGAGCCTGCTTCTCCCTCTGCCTGTGTCTCTGCCTCTCTCTCTCTCTGTGACTATCATAAAAAAATAAAAAAAATTTTAGTAGAAGAGGCTCTTATTAAATTGCTTCAGAGATATTTGAAACACTTTAAAAAAACTTTGCTGTTGCGAACACTTTACTTCCTAGGAAAAGGCAAGTCCCCAAGCTGTCTCTAGAATTAATGAAAAGCCCTAAATATGCTAATAACCAGGTTTTAAAATATGAAAATTAACTTAAAAAATTCTACTCATCAAATTACACTGGACTCAGATTACGGTTTAGTCCATCACTCTTCCAAAGAGTAGAGAACTTTTATGTTATTTAAACATTTCTACTTCTGAAAAACACATGGAAAATATTTCTAATGTGTCCTTAAAGTCCTTAGAAGTAGAAGAAATACTTAAACACTAGCCAATGTTTTTTAAGCCCATCATGTATTTGGTCCTCCCCAAAATCTTAAAAAAAAAAAGTCTTTAGAAGCAAAAATTCAATAGACCACATTCACTGATCACAGTGTGATGAAATAAGGAAGTTACAACAAAACAGGAATAGAAGAACAAGGAGGAGGAGAAGGAAGGAAAACAAGGAAAGAGAAAAGAGAAAGGAAGGAAAAGAATTGAGAATTTTAGAATACCTTTGTGAAATGTGTCAGAGAAGAGCTCAAAACTGAAATTGGGTAGATTTCAATGTGAGGACGACTTGTTGATCCTGCTGATATGGGCAGTTAGCAAGCATTTTTTTTCTCTTCTGAAGATACTGGTGGGTACATAGGAGTTAATCACAATGAAGTTAAGGACCCTCTAAGATCAGGCATCTAGTTCCTGCCTCTCCTGATTCTTTTTTTTTCTTTTAAAGATTTATTTACTCATGAGAGACACAGAGAGCTGCCTCTCCTGATTCTGCCCTGCAGTCAGAATCTCAGCCTTTCTCCTCCTCACTTTTATTTTATTTATTTATTTATTTATTTATTTATTTATTTATTTATTATTATTTTTTTAAAGCCATTGGGAGCCTTAGCTATACTAACCCAGATTCAAAGACCTTAGTGGCAGAAAGGACTTGGTCAGTCAGTGTCACTGGAGTCATAGTAGACCTGGGACTCCTAAGCTTCAAGTCACAACATACTGGTCTAAACACAAATTCCCTCTTGCACCTTGTACCCCACCCCATGAACAGCCAGCAGTTGCATTGGGAAAGGAAGGGGAATGGGACCTGCTTACCTGGGCCAATCGCTTTGTCAAGCTCCTCTGCCAGGAGGTTCTGGTTGATGGCCCTCAGGACTTGCAGGGTCAGCCGCACGGCATTCTCTTCCCCGTAGTGGTTGATCATCAGATTGGCCAGCTTCACTGGCTTGGCATTCTGGACCTGGCCCCGGGGGATCCGGGAGTGATCCTTCTCCACGCTGGTGTTCTGCAGCTTAAACTTGAACTTCTCAAAGTCATTGGGCAGCAGCTCCTCCAGGGAGTCCAGCAGATGATCACTGGGGGTTTTGATCATGGTGTTGACCAGGAGAGGCTGGAGCCAGCAGTCTGAAACAGCCTCTGTCTTGGAACCCAGAGGGTGGGTAAAAAAGAAGCCACTTGTGAAATAGCGGAAAAGCACAGGAAATGCTCTCTGCACTCTGGCGAGAACTGAGCTAGGAGTGTCATCGTTTGTTTGTTTCCAGTGATGACTCTTGTGTTCTCTTTCTCACAGATTTGGAGGCCTTCACAGCTAGGAGGGTTCAAGGCCTTGGCAGTCATGTGTTCCTATAGTGCCCCAGCCCTCACCTTCCCATACTGGCCTGTAGAGCAGTGCGTAAGTATGTGAGGGAGGGGCTGGGGCTGGATTCCAGGGTCTCGATCCTGGGAAGGCACTCAGATGCCTCTGTCTCTCCTTCTTCCGGGATATGGGTGTGGGGAGCAGGAACAAAGCCCCTGGTCCCATGCTGCAGAGGACCGTAATGAGAGTCAGTCTCTTTGACCAATCGTTTTCCTCCAGACTCAGGATTTTATGGACCCTCCAGAGCAAATGATGAGTGTTGCGGGGGGCAACAAGTGCAGCCCTGCAAGTTTTGCCCTTCTCTGCCCAAGAAGGAGGTGAAGCCGGAGGGCACTGCCAGGCCACCAGCCCTGGTGTCACCCCTGTTGATGTCATTCCAGTTGTCTGGTGCTTTCAGCATCACAAAGGCCTCAAATGCTGTGTGTGGAACTGTCATCCTGATTTGTTTGTTCCCTACTCTGCCCTGGCTTCCCGAGAGGATCCCCATGAGGGAGGGTGCTTGTCCATGCACTTTTATTGAACAAGTTTTTTGTTTGTTTGTTTTTTGTTTTTAAAGTAAGCCCCATGCTCAGTGTGAGGCTTGAACTCAGAACCCCAAGAACAAGGGTCACATGCTCTACTGACTGGGCCAGCCAGGTGCCCCTGAACACATATTTTAGACGCCATGCCAGGATGCTGGAGAAACAAGGGTGAAAAAGGAATAGGTGTCCTTTGGAGCTCATGTCCCAGTGCGGTCTCCAGAAGTTGCTCCAGAGCTAATGGAAGTGGTATGTGGGGTAAGTGGACTTCTTCCACAATTAACAGCTTCTGTCTTTCTGTATACCCTGATTTTTATCCCCGGCTTTTTTTGTTTTGAAAAAAACACTACTTTTAGTTGCCACATCTCTATAGTCTGATTCTGCTAGAACACTTTCACACTTTCCCCCCTTTTAAAATTATGTCAAGACAATGTTTTTGAAAAGTCCATTCCAAGCAAAATGTCCCTTAATTAATTAAGATTTCCTCATTATTTGACTGAAGGTACTTTCAGGCATCCTCAAGATGTCTCCATTGTAAAAGGACATTTTTTTCTTTGTGACTAGTAAGTGACCTGAGCATGTGGAAATGTCTTGTTCTCCCACAATCTTTCACTCATGATTTTGGTATTCATTGATAATCCTTTCCGATATTAATTGCTACAATGATACTTGAAAAATGGTGATATTTCTGTCACTTAGCTGGCATCACTTACGTGTCCTGTCTTAAGCTTTCTGCATTTCTCATGAAGTTTTTGGCTTTGCGGATGTTTTGTTGGTAACACAATGGGGCTTACTCTGTGCCTGGCACAGCTTGCTTTATATCCATTGTCTCCTGAAATCTCTGCAGCACCCCTTCAGGGCAAGATTCATCATCCTCACTTACATCCAGGATTAGTGGTTTAGTGACTTGCTCAGTAACTGAGCCAGGATTCAAACTCCCTCTTTTAACCATTTTGGAATATTGCCTACATGCATGATAATAATTGATTATTTTACTGTTCCTCACTAACCACAGATGCTTTTATCTTTTTTTTTTTTTTTTTTTTTTTTTTTTTTTTTTTTTTTTTTTTTACAGATGCTCCTTTTAAAGCTGACCAATGAGGCTCAAAACAGGCCATTCTGACGGCTCTCACAAGTCACATACAACATTCTGATGCCTGACAGAACAAACAGCACTGTGCCTGACCAGCCTGTGTGTGACCAGCTGGGACCAAGACTTTGATGCATTCTGCTTGGTTTAATTGATCTTATTGTCCAGTTGGTCCACATACTTCATATTTTACTGAGTACTCAGTCCTTTTGGTTTCTTAGCTGACAGCATCCAGTTTTCTGGATCCTGCTGAGAAAATAACCCTAAACCCAACATACTCCCTAAGAAATGGATGGACCCAAATGCATGCATATTTATGGTACAAATGTTGGATGTGTGATATTCTCAGGTTGAGCTGGAAGAGTATTGACTGAGCATCTCTGGGACCAGGACCTGTCCAAGATTTCAGAAGGCAGTAACACAGCCACCCCACAGGGAACCTCCCTCTCCTGAGACAGAAATGAAATTTGCAATAACATGCTGGATATTTCCTGTTCCTGGGGTTCCTGACCCTGTCTTGACTGGCCAGGGTCCTTTAAGCTGAGACTAAGACACCCACAACAGAATTTTTTAAAAAGATTTTATTTATTTATGAGAGAGAGAGAGAGAGAGAGAGAGAGAGAGAGAGAGAAGCAGAGACACAGGCAGAGGGAAAAGCAGGCTCCATGCAGGGAGCCCTGACATGGGACTCGATCCCGGGTCTCCAGGATCATGCCCCGGGCTGAAGGCAGCGCTAAACTGCTGAGCCACCCAGGCTGCCCAAAATTTTTTTTTTAAGATTTTATTTATTTATTCATGAGAGAGAGAGAGAGAGAGAGAGAGAGAGAGAGAGAGAGATTGAGAGGCAGAGAAATAGATAGAGGGAGAAGCCGGCTCCTTGCAGGGAGCCCGATGCAGGCCTCAATCCCAGGACTCTGGGATCATGCCCTGAGCCAAAGACAGACGCTCAACCGCTGAGCCACCCAGGCATCGCCCCCACAACAGAATTAAGCAGGAACTGGGGCTTTCCAGTCTATAACAGGATATTTTGCAATTGCAGTGATACCTTTTGCAACAGGGGGCAATTCTAAGGCATAGATTTGTCTTTTTTTTTTTTTTAAGAGAGCACACGAGCAGGGGTTAGGGGGAAGGAGGGGTAGAGAGAGAGAGAATCTCAAGCAGACTCCCCACTAGCAGCGCCACATGGGACTTGATCTCACAACCCTGAGATCATGACCCTGAGGTATGACCTGAGCTGAAACCAAGAGTCAACCGTTCAACTCACTGAGCTACCCAGTAGCTCTGAGTCATGGACTTATAAGGTAATGTTTTGATGCCACTGAGGCATTTATGGGTCAAGAGAAGCTGAAAGAGCTTCCATTTTTTAGGTTCCAACAGTTTTTTTTTTTAAATGAAGAAATGTAAAAAGACAATTAGACCTTTTGGGATGCCTTTTAAATGTTTGTACAGCTGTAGTGGAGTGTGGATGAAATCTTTCTTGTGCCTCTGTGACAGTATGTGTGCCCTTATTTGGAAACAACATGATACATCTAAATCCATCCCAGCTGCTGCAAGCAGAGGTATTTCAAACTCTGGTTTTATCCTAAGTAATGTATAGCCCAGACACCCCAACCTTTACTCCATGCCTGGGTTTCACCTTTCTAACTTATTCCATCAGGGTTTCACTTTCTAACACATTCATTTTTGCATCACTTGGAGATTTTTTAATCAACATGTATTACTTTTATAAAAGGGAAAACAGATAGTTTTAAAACTTATTTTATAATTTGTTTAGCTTCCAAGAGGATATCAGTCCTGTCCCCAGAACCATCATGATAAAGGAGGTTTATGGTACTTAAATATAGTACATATTGGTTATTGAGAGAGCTGTAGGCAAGATTACAGAAGAATTCTTGTGTTAATATGGAGTTGGAAGTAGTGGATCCCATTGTGACCCAAACTCTTCCTCACCCTCTGGTATATTGACTTTTAAGGGAGAAATCTGAGACTTTGAGATTTTGTCTCACGTTCAAAGTGAATTTCCAGGCAACAAACTTCCCACTGAGAAACATACTTGTAACTGTGCTTTCTGATAGCAAACCAAGTTATGGTGCAACCTCCAACCTCCTGAGTGGGATGGAAACAGGGAGAGGAAGGCAGCTTCCTAGATGGCCTTGACCTGTGGAGGTTGTTCAGTAGTGGTGTTGGAATAGTTCCCAGATTGGTTCACCAACCAGAGTTTCTTTTTCTTTTTTTTAAATAAATTTATTTTTTATTGGTGTTCAATTTGTCAACATACAGAATAAGACCCAGTGCTCATCCCGTCAAGTGCCCACCTCAGTGCCCGCCACCTAGTCACCCCCACCCCCCGCCCCCCTCCCCTTCCACCACCCCTAGTTTGTTTCCCAGAGTTAGGAGTCTTTCATGTTAGGTCTCCCTTTCTGATATTTCCCACTTATTTTTCTCCTTTCCCCTTTATTCCCTTTCACTATTTTTTTATATTCCCTAAATGAGACCATATAATGTTTGTCCTTCTCTGATTGACTTATTTCACTTAGCATAATACCCTCCAGTTCCACCCGCGTTGAAGCAAATGACCAACCAGAGTTTCATTTGCAATAAGGTAAAGCCAAGCAAGAAGCTTTATAAGCTATAAAGTGCTATAATCATTATTTATTCTGACTGTTAAATCTAGATGGAGGGCAAGTGGGTGTTCATGTTATTCTTTTTTTACACGTATTTAAACATTTTATAATTTAAAACATCGAAAAAATGTTCGTTTTACCAATATTTCTAGGGACTCCACTAAGAGGCTGGCTCTGGGCATCCAGTCCCAGACCACCAAACATTTACAGGTTAGTGAAGAACACACTTCTCCCTTCCCTTGCACCTCTTCTTTTCTTTTTTTCTTTTTTCTTTCTTGCTTTCTTGCTTGCTTTCTTTCCTTTCTCCCTCCTTTCTTTCTTAGATTTTATTTATTTATTCATGAGAGAGAGAGAGAGAGGCAGAGACACAGACAGAGGGAGAAGCAGGCTCCTTACCCGGATCCCAATCTGGGACTCCATCCTAGGACCCCAGGATCACCACCTGATGCAATGGCAGATGCTCAACCACGGAGCCACCCAGGTGCCCCTTCCTTGCACCCTTTGAGGTTCGGTTTACGTAATCTTGTTCCACTGTCACCT